GAGATACACGGTAGCTGCATGTAAATACCAGGTAGGATAGGCAAGGATTAGGCAACTTTTGATAACTTTTTGTCCTTTTCACAACTTGGGGTCTATAAGGGACGGGCTGAAGACGGGCATCTTCATGGTCGGAGTACCGTAGTTGGGGATGGCTAGGAGTACCTTTCCCAGACCGGTTCGGGCTGCGGCATTCATGTGAGGGATGCCGGGCCCATTTCCCGGTTTTATAATGGAAAGTTGCTGAGAAAAAAAAGAAAAAAACAGGAAAAAAGAAGGACAAAGAGGAGAAAGAATCAAAAGAAAAAGAAAAAGAAGAAGAAGAAAAAAAGGAAAAAGAATCAAATTCAACTTTAAAAATTCAATAAATCAATTGAACATGAGGTTCCCCGCACAGGCGCTATCCTTAGACAACGTACTCGCACTAACACTTTCCTGGATTTATCTACCCTCAATGACGACAACCGATGGATGTACCTGACTGAAACTACGGCCAGGGCTGAGTCCAAAAAGTCCTAGTGTGAGTAGATGCCCACACTACTCACCACCAAATGTGCAGAATGCGGGTGAATTTTCCGGAAGAACATGGAAAGATTCACGGCCATAATTTGTCTTTTGTACATTTGGTGAGTCGTTGGACGAGGCCCTTGGTCTCAATCACAACGCATTTCCACAGGTGGCCTGTGGCTCAGCGGTTAAGGCACTGGTTGCCAATGTGCATTGTGGTATGAGGGTTAGCGTTTACATAACGCATTCGTCGCATGCCCAATTGCATACCCCCTTGGGCTGACGGAGGTAAGCTATTACAGACACTGCCTGCGCACCACCCAAGGGTCAGTCCACGGGTGTTGTACGCTGGTCTAGGCTTCGTGTTGGTTGGTTGCTCTGATGATCAACCCAGCCCAGACACTTCACACATCACGTCTAGGCGTGTCTCTACCACACACACGAGACACGCCTACCCATATTACACACAAATACACACAAGACACTGCCCCGATATTGTCTATGGGCACAACCACAATACACAGTCTATCACATACCATATACACATAGATTAAGTCACACACACAA